CTGTCCCTGGAAATTGATGGAAAAACAAGGTGCTTCCAGGATAAAGAGGAACTGGGGGAATTTGCAACCACCAATTCAACTCTACAGAGAGTATTGCAGGATATTCTAAAAAAAGAAAAATACAAAGAATCCAGAAATAATGGCAGAGAGGCCACAGCGAATGGAGCAGAGAACAAAATGAAGAAGACAAACTGACAGCTACTGACAGAAAAAGAGCTTAACAGAAACGAGGCAGAGAAGATTGGATGATAGGAACAGCTATTTTGGAGAAAATGACATCTTAATAGGTAATACTGATTTAGTATCATCTTGTTTTGAAGTCTCATCTAGCTTTTGTCCTTCTGTCTCCAATGGTCTAAATAGGCTGTATCTTATTGGATTTTATTATGTATGATAGTATAAGCAAAAACCTTTTAAAGACAAGGAGATTATACAGAAACCATTGTTCATTTTCTGTTAGTCGATTCTAAATACTCTGTAATGCTGTCATTCTCTTGAATGGTTTTACATTGTTTTGATATACTTAATGCTACAGTATATGAAGTTGTACTCAAGGATTTCAAAGAAAGAAACAATATGGTAACTACTTTTAGGTTAGGATTATCTGGTGGTGAAACACTATTCTGCTTAAATGGTTATGCTTTGATCTGCGCTGTTTCGTTGTTATGCCCTCTTTTATCTCAATCTCCACTCCCTTATTTACTTTTTTATCTTTATCCTTTTAATTAAAGAAAAAAAATAGCAGGATATATTATAGTAACCCACTTTGACTTTTCATTACCTTGATTTAAAGCCCTGTATTACTCTCACCATCTGGTTTTTAACTGATGTTCCCCTATTCTGTTTTGCTGGATAGTATCAGGTTCGAAAGTTTAGGCATCAGCTGTGAAGATAATGAGATTCATTATGACGCCCATTCTTGTTGACTTTTATCTACTTTTGAAGACCTACAATGTCTCCAATGTTTTGGTTTTGTCGGTTTTATTCTTTACTGTTTTGTTCAATTGTATTATAACTAATGATATAGGCAATTCTATTAGAGATAGCAGGAGGCATTATGGTAACCATTGTTGATCACCTTGTATTATGTTTTTACATTATCTATAATGTCCACCCTTTTGACTTGACCGATTCTGTTCTGTTATGTCACATTTGGTTTTACTCTCTTCCAAAAAAGTAATAAGAACCGTGGGAGCAATGAAACCCAAAATGTGTAATAGTCATGGTACAAAAGAGAGGAAAAGAAAGTGCTCCAAACTATATAACTGCATGTATATTTAAGTGTATAAGATAGAAAATGATATCACAGAGTTTTATTGGATCAATGAACAGAACTGTTTGCAGTATCATTGATGGAATGTCCACTTTACAAGCTTTAATTTTGTGACTTGAACAATTATTTCTAAGATGACAATATGTAATCCATTAACTAGTGATTTCCTACTGTTCATTTTTTTTCTGTAAATCTGTATAACTTGTACCCTTTCCCTGCTTTTTTTTTCTTTTCTCCTTAAATAAAATTTAAAAAAAAAAAAAAAGAAAAAAAAAAAGTGTTGAGGATGAAGCTATACTCTGAAGTTCTTAGCTAGCAACATAAGGCCTTGGGTTCAATCTCCAACACCAAAAATAAATAAGTCAACCAACACTCAAATCTGATTAATTACTTTTGTGAACTATATATACACATTTTTACGCCAGTATCCTTCAATTCTTCCTTTGTCTAATGTAATCCAACACATACTTTAAGGTCCAAATGAAGTTTAAACTCCACAATGACAGCTATGTCAAAAATTTAAAATCTTGACATAGATTTGTTCTAGTTCCTATTCAGCTTAGCAGTACACTATTGTCAACTGTGTCCTAAATTGTTAGACTCTATCAAAACTAGATTATAAAATGCTCATGAAAATTCATATTTACATATTTTACAATGCTGAGAGCAATATCAAATACATAAGAGGTTCTCAAATCATATATGTAGCTCAGTATAGAAAAAGTTCTTCATGTATGTTAGGTATATTTGAATTGATACTCTAAAATACACAGAATAGGAGCAGTACAGAGGGATTCTGGTGGAAGAAAAATGAATGAACAATACCACCATTTGGGGATATTTACTTAAATTTTTCCCTATAGAGGTAACAGCTTAGCTCAATGGTAGAATGGTTATCTTATCTAGTATATGTGAAGCCTTGGGTTTGATTCCCAGTACGTTAAAAAGAAAAAAATTCTTTACCGTATTTATAACTTCAACCAACCTAATAATCTAGCTGGGCATGGTGCCACACACCTGTAATCCCAGCACTCCTCAAGGCTGAAGCAAGATCACAAATTTAAGCCTAGCCTGCAATTTAGCAAGACTCTGTCCCAAAATAAAAATTAAAATAAAATGGCTGGGTATGGTAGTGCATGCCTGTAATGCTAGCACTCACGAGACGGAGGTGGGAGGATTGCCCCAAGTTCAAGGCCAGCCTGAACTACACAATGAGTCTCTGTCCCCCCAAAAAATTAAAATTAAAATGACTTGGAAGTGATTCAGTATGAAGACCCTGGGTTCAGTCCCCAATACCACACACACACACACACACACACACTCCAAAGTTCCGTTTTTATAATTTAAAATTTATAAATTATGTTGCCTAGCTATCCATTTAAACACAGTCTTAATTTTTCATATAGAAGCAAGGCTCAATTGACACAATTTTGAATTCTACATCTCCACTCAGTCCCTCAAGGGGTTTAGTCCAGATATTTGCCTTAAACAGCTTCCTCCTGGTGAATAACTCTCTAAAAGACAACTACTATATACAGCCAACTTGACTGGCCCCTCTCACCCCATGCAGACTATGCAGATGTCAATGACCACCTTTCAGTTTCAAGTGACACCCTGAAACTTGTGCTTGCTTTACAATTCTTTGCACGAAATCCATTTGGATAACACTCTGACCCCAATAAAGAGGTTGTCTGTAGGTCTCTACCAGCCTGCACCATCTAATTTCTATGTATGTGGCATTTAGACATGCTATGTAACCCCCAAAGACCTGAAAGTAACAAAAATCTTTATTTCCACATTATTTTCTCTAATCATTGAAGGAGTACTTCTCATTTTAAAGACCCTAAATTACAACAACAAGAAAAATGCCTTAAGTAGTTCAAGAAGTTAGCTAAAATTAATCTCTCAAGAAGCAATGGCTCATGCCTGTTATCTTAACTACTCAGGAGGCTGAAGCAGGAGGATGGCAAGTAGTTCAAGCCCAACATGGACAACTTAGTGAAACCTTGCCTTATAATAAAGCCCTATATTCAATCCCTATTACAGAAAGCAGGTTCGAGCCCTGCCTTGGTGATGTAGCAAGAACTTGTTTCAAAATAAAAAAGAGCTGGGGATGCAGTTCATTGTGAAGCCTTTGGGTTGAATCCCTAGTACTACAAAAACAAACAAACAAATACAGAACACGTGTTACATGTTTCCTTACAATACAATAACATTTAGATAATTTTATAAAGATGATTATAATGAATTCATGCTATTCTTACAATGCACCTTTTCCACAGTTTCTGCTTTGATCTTATCTTCTTCTAATCAATGTAAAATAACTATATTTCTAAAATAACTACAAAGTAAAAGTAGCTTATTCTAGCTGACAGTGGTGCACCTTTGTAGTCCTAGCACTTTGGAGTCCTAAGTTGAAGGGTCACTGGAATCCCAGCCTTAAAAAAAAATAAATAAAAGAAAAGCTCATTTTGTAAATAACCTCAATGCTGACAATTTCTAGCCCCATTTTCTACTCCACAACCTGGTATTTCACTGATAAGTAATCATGCTTTGGAGCCAGACATAGTGGTACTAGTAACCCCAGCTACAAGGGAGGTGGAGGCAGGAAGATTGCAAGTCTGAGGTGCCTGGGTAACAAGATTTGCCTTAAAATTTTAAAATGAGCTGGTGACATAGCTCAGTGTTAGAGCACTTGCCTAGCATGTACCAAAGGCCAAGGGTTCAATCCTCAATGTGAAAAATTCCTTTAATAATTATAAATTTACAACACAATTTTCTTTTTAGGGAGTGACAATATAATTTAGTGCTCAACAATTGTCATGTTCTAAGAATGATCCTCAAAAACATCCATGATCATTTAAACCAAGATGTGATACCTAAAAGTAGTAAGTATGATCTGGGTTTGGTGGGTGCAGGCTTATAATCCCAGTACCCTGGAAGGCTGAGGCAGGAAGACAGGAACTGGGAACACAGCTTGAAAGCAATTTAGCAAATTAGCAAGACCCTGTCTCAAAACAAAAAAAGAAGAAAAGGGTTGCAGACATAGGTCAGTGTGAAGGTCCTGGGTTTAATTTCTAGTACCCAAAAAGAAAGTAGTATGTATGAGATTTCGAGTCTTTTTAATCCCTGCCAAAACAGCCAAATTAGCAGAAGCATCCAAAATTCCAGACAGGCACTGTGCCACTCAGCTATAACTCTGTCAATGTCAAAATTCTAGTATTTCATTCTTATGACCTCAGAAAAGTAATTCAATTTTTTAGATGGAAAGAATACACAATACTGTATAGACAGATGATGGGACACCTGCAATTATGATTTTTCTTTTGCTTTTTAATTCTTTAGAAGACATCAATAAGCAGTACATTAGCTATTGCTATTCTCTTATTCTTGATGAAATTTTGGCATTTTTGAGGATAGAAGGAAATAAGATCTCTTTTCAATGTCCGAAACACAGGGATTATTAACAGCCGTCCACATTCTTTTGTGCATAAAGCAAATAATTAGCAAAAGGAGAGAGAACAGGAGAGAATTCATTCAATATGTGAATAAATATGGTGGTCTAAAAGTTATAAATATACAACAGTTAATTGCTTAGATGACTCCTCTGCTCATCCCACTAGATTATGGAAAGATGACAATGTACTTTTTAGCAGCATATATTTGCGTGACCACACCTGCAAGAGACCTGAGGTCCTGTACTGAACTTCCATGCATGATGGCTTACCCACAGCGTTGTAGAGAGGCTCTCCAGTCAACTTGTCCCAGACTACAGTGGTTTCTCTCTGGTTGCTGACACCAATAGCTTTGAAGAGAAAGATAAAGAGAAGAGAGGAGGAAATTAACTACGATATTACTTTAGAAAAATTGTTCAACTTTCATTATTGACAAAAACAAGCATAACAATTAAAAAATACCCCAACACTGAATATTTGTAGTGGTGCTTATTTTCCTTGAGTGGTCCTGGGAGAAGTGAACACAGGATGTCAAGTTTTTCTTTTTACTTCTACATACTCCTTCCACTTTACTACCTGCACACAATGACATGGAGCCGGGTCAATATCCAAAGGAAAGGGGTTCAGGTTGCCTTAAGGAATGCAGCAACTTTCCAAGTTTATAACAATCTATTTATTATTCTGAGCAGGCCAACAATCACCTCATTAATTTATTTAGTAACTGCTACAAGACATTTGCCTTCTCACATGTGCGTGCATGCATGTGCATACCTACATTTTAAGAAAATAACCAAACAAAACGCCTTCATGCTAAGCAATTTTATGGGTGGTTAGGAATTCAGCTTTCTTCTTACATTTTACTATATCATAATACATAACAGTTTGAATCAGGTATAAATATGTAATGGCATTTACATTAAACTGACCTATATAACTTAACTGCTGTATTTACAGTTAGTATAAATAAAATATTAATGCATACCATCTGAATCTGATCAGTTTGATTTGGTAAGTCATAAGTTCCCAGACTTGGCTTCCGAATCAACTTTAGAATCAGCTAGATTTTTTTTGTACCAGGAATCAAACTCAGGACCTTGCACTTGCCAGGCAGGTGCTGTGCTGCTGAGCTATACCTGGTACCCTGGATGACACTTCCAGTGATAAGCTGGTCACCACATCTCTTACAGAAGACCAACGTCTACTGGATAACTTTGGTATTAAATAAGTCCATGGGCTGTGGGTAGATTTTATAGTACAACACTAGCCTACTGTTGGGCTTGATCTACAGCACTGCAAAAAAATTTCTTTTCCTTGTAACTGTCAGCTACAAATGTTAGCCATATTTTTTGAGATATAAAAAAATATAGTCAATCTTGCTTCCACATGCCAATCTTTTGGAAACCCAAAGCAGCTATTTTATCCCTCCAGTCTTCCCTTCCATTGTCTTGGCTAAACATATTTCTTTTGACTGCCTCTGCTTCCATAAGACATGGTTTAAAGTGTCTTTGTCACAGTTCCCAGGGTATGCAGCTATCTATTCATATCATTCCAAATATACACCTAGAAGAAAATACAGTAGCAATGTTGTGACCAGCACAGGATCAAAGAGGGCCACCAGCTCCCTTGTTCTAATACTACCCATCCAATGCAGACATGCTCACATTATTGGACAGTTTTTTAATAGTACAAAGATGACTAAAATTCTGCTCAAAGAAACTAAGAGGCATACAGTAAAGAGTAGAGAGTCTAGGTTGATTACTTATAAAATTAGAACACAACAATATACACAAGAAGAAATAAAGAGGACAAGTGAAGGGTGGGACTACAAAACATCAGGACGTGGTCCTGATGTGTAGTGACAGGAAGTGAAGCGATCAGCAGCACAGGTGGAGGGAGGAGCCTGAAGAGGGACAGACTGTTGCTTCTCCTAAGAAAGGGAGCAGAAGATCCAGATAGAAAGTGTAGACCCTGAAGTCCCAAAGTCTCCACTTCCCCGTGAAATAGTAGGCAAGACCATATGCTAAAATAGGACCAAGTAAAAGCAGCCTCAAGAGTTTGGGGAATAAGCCAACAGAGTGTCACACTTCTGAAATCTCAGCTACTTAGAATGCTCAGGCAGGAGGATGGCAAGTTCGACGAGAGTCTCAGCAACTTGGATAGACACGGACTCAAAAGGATGGGGGGGTGGGGGTGGGGAACTAGAGCTTATACTCTGAACCCAGACAGTTGGGATTCAAATTCCAATTCTGATGGTTCTGTTTCATTTTTTTCCTACAAAATGGAGAGAATAAAATATTTCACCTTACTAAGTTACAGTGATAAGTATTAAAACACATGACTGGCAGACAGGAAGTACTTATTAAATGTTATCTACCGCCACTATCATTATTATCATTATATTGTCATTGTCATAGCTGTTTTGAAATTGAACCCTTGGTCCTTCATACTGAACAACATCCCCAGCCCTTTCTGTATTTTGAGGCAGGGTCTTGCTAAGTCACTAGATTGCCCAGGCTGGGCTCTAATTTAGACCCTTCTGTCTCAGCCTCCCAAGAATGCTGAGATTATGGGCACTCACCACCACACCCATCTTGTCACTGTTATTACTGTGCAGTGTGGAGACCAGTTGCAGAGAATAAGATTAAGTTGAGCAAGACACAGAAAGTAATTCAGCCACAGATTGCTTCAGAAGTATTATGAATACTGTTTTGGAGGTGATAACTTTACAAGATGGAACCACAATGAATTCACGGTCAATAGGATGTCTCCTTACACATTTATCTTTCTGTAAACCACCTGGCTGCTCCTTTAGGCACAATCCTTGCTTCACTACTTTGTATTCATCCTGCTACCTTTTCTTACTGGCTCCTTCTGACTAGTATTTAGAATAGAATCTGGAGCTATTTTCATCTGATTCTTAGGTCATGGATTCCTCCTTGACCACTCCTTTCTCCTTTATCTTTGTTCCACTTCTACCTGGCAGGTAAAATTGCTTTTCTTGCAGACAATCAAAGTCCATCGAAACAGCTTCTCTGGATTGTCTTCCAACCACAGACATCTTTAACACTGGCTGCTCCCCAGGGCACACAGGTCTTATGCAATGCATCTGAGCTTTTCCCATGTTCTAACTCTTAGTCATTTTCCCTAAAATCCCTCAGGGATTTTAAGAGTAACTTTTCTGACTCTTAATCCTAGCACGTATGCCATTAGCAACGGATCCTAACTTTAATGTTTTTCCTAAGAATAACAGATTTAGATTTTGTAATTTCCTACTATAGTTCATCTGTACCACTTAGAGGTATTGGATATGACATACATGAACGACACATTTTCTGGCCTCAAAACTTTTTACTTGAAGATATGATAATCATTAACATTTATAAAATACAATGTGTTCCTCTTATATCTAGCAGATTCACTTTTTTTAGGGGTGTGTGTCTTTATAGTGAGTGTCAGTAAAACTCAAGTAGTTAAAAGTTAATATCCAGCATCTCTGGTTAAATGTTGCTTAAAGTTGTCTATAAAACTTACAGTCAGTTAAGAAAATATACTTAGAAAAAAGTTCTTGAAAATACTTCAAGATATTAATTATTGTAATCTTGGTATAGACTTATGGATGATATGATTCTTTTCATGAGTCTTTTTTTTACCATTAAGCTACATCCCCAGTTCTTTAAATATATATCACTTTTTAAATTTATTTATCTGTAAGTTAGATCCTTCTGAGTTGCCCCAGCTGGCCTTGAACTTGCAATCCTCTCATCTCCACCTTCTGCATTCTGGAATTATAGGCACAGGCCACCAGGCCTCACACATGAATCCTTTTTGAAAAATGAAATCAGGCTAAGGGTGCAGCTAGGAGTGGAGGGTGTTTGCTGAGCATGTACAAGACCCTGGGTCTGATCTCCAGTACTGAAGTAAACAAATTAGGAAGTAATACATTTTTCACAAAAAAATAACAGAGCAAAATAATAAAAGCTTTAGAGAAAACATCTCTATCTACTACAAGGACCATATGGGCAGAGGCATAACGCTTTCTAAACAATCAAAAGCTTTGTATGGTTTTCCACTGAAAATGCATATTTGACAATTGCAGTACTGGGGGTTTAGCTCAGTAGTACAGTGCCTACCTAACATTTATAAGGCCTTAAGTTCAACTGTAGCACCATAAACAAAAATCTTGGCAAGTCATCACAAACAAGATGTTGCTGCTAATGGAAAAGTTATTTTGGAGGGTGAAGTGACTTGCTGAAGTCCCTGAAAGACTGAGTCTAAGAGGTAACTTAAATGTGTGGGAATGTCAGATAGGGTAGCAAATTAGAGGAATAGTTGTGTGAGTTTCTGTGTGTGTGTGTGTGTGTGTGTGTGGGTGTGGGTGTGTGTTGGGGGGGGGTCCTGCGGATTGAACCCTGGACTTCACACTGAGTTACATACATCTCCAGTCTTTTTTTTTTTTTTTTTGAGACAGGGTCTCACTATGTCACCAAGTTGCCCTGGCAGGCTAGAATTTGTTCCTGCCTCAGCCTCCCAGAGTACTGGTATTACAAGTAAACACTACCATGCCTAGTAGTTTTTCTTTCCTCCAATGGTTGAAATAACTGCTTTAGAGACAAGAACATTTAATTCTTGAGGATTTTATGACCTTATCTTTCAAACTGTTTAGAAGCAAATTGTGTTTTGCTTCTATCATGTCAAACAAAAATGAAAGAGATTATCTCGTGTTCTAATTCCTGATACTTTGTAATTCCTTAAATTCTTTGAAAGACAAAAAGAACTTCTTGCCTCAAGTCAAGAAGGAAAGAAGCAGCCCAATGACTTGCTTTGGGCTAGAATATACTGTTCAGTTAGAATGATTCTTAATTTGGAAGACACTGTTCTTAGTGACCTGAAATCAGTGAGCTGCGTGACAGATAAGGATGACCAAAAACAATGAATCAGAATATTTCAAAGAAATATAAAGAGATATGATGAACCTGGTTAATGATTATCAGGTTAAGACTATCGAGGACAGCACTCTTCAGCTGGCAAAGCTAATTTATTTGTTACACAAAAAATATCAACTGAAGTAATTTTTGAGATTATCACCAGTATGGCTCAGGGGAAAAAAAAGCCCTGCTCGAGGAGGTAGGGAAGCTGTGTTTTAATGCTGTGCAGCACTAAAGAGTTGTGGGACCTTCAATAAGTCTCCTTCCCTCACTGAAGCTAGGGGGAGTTGGTCTGGGTGAAGAAAGATCCTTTATAGCTTTGACAGATCATTCTACATAGGCAGTGTTCTATATAGGCAAGCAAAAGCTTGGCCTTTGGCAATGGCAATTCAGTAACTTATCAAGGAAAAATTCAGCATCACTGCTTTGTATAGAGAGGCTTATGGGACACTGTCATCCTTGGCCACTGACTGGTTCACTGTGGCTCAGATATGGCTTTCACATTGATCAAATACAGGAGTGTAGAGAGTGTGTGTTCAATTCTTTCAGACTAGTTACTACAGGTGTAAGACAAATCCCTTGTGCAGGAGTTGTGTCATCTTCACATATACCACAAAACCCAGCCATAAAACGTTGGCAGCCAAATGGGTTCAAAAAGTCAACACAATATTGCTTACATTACCTATAAGGAAGGTAGAACATTAATGTCACCATGGTCAATCACCTGGGAGTGGATTCTAAATATGGCTTTAAACTCCATGGATTACCTAAGTATTGGGTAGTAACCACTTTGACAAGAATATGCTACTGAATGCCTGTTATGTTTACAGTGCTTAGACCACGAAAGCTACAAGAACAGCTCAAAGAAATGACCAACAAAGCCGGGCGTGGTGGTATACAACTGTAAGCTGAGTTCCTTAGGAACTGAGGCAGAAGGACTGCAAGTTCTAGCCCAGTTTTGGCAATTTAGCAGCTTAATGAGACCCTGTCTCAAATTAAAAACAAAAAATGAAACAAAAATCAAAAACAAAATCAGAAAGGGCTGGAGGCATAGCTCAGGATAAAGGTCCTGGGTTTAATCGCCAGTACTTCAGAGAGAGAGAGAAGAGAGGGAGCGAGAAAGGGAGACAGGAAGGGAAGAATGGAGGGAAGGGAGAAGAAAAGGAGGAAGGACAAACAGCAATCACTTTGATAGCTTTGACAGCACATCTAAACTTAGGTGACTAAAACTTTAAAAAGAAGCACTTCCACTTAGATGTAGGGAGAAGAAACAGGACTAATATACGCATGACTTTACAAAAATGTTAATAAAATCCAAAACTGCTCCTAGGTGTTTGTCTCATTTAAAATCTGTAATAGCTTGAATAGTTACACTATTGTTAGGATCCTGCACTTATCTGTAGTTACTCCCCTACTTGACCTTCGGCTGCGTGGCTCCATTCATGCTCTGCTGTATCCCCAGCACACCTACCAAATAACAGGCATTCTGTAGACTTGCTGAATGTATGGTGAGTATGTATGGTGGTCTTCAGTTTTGAAGTTTTTATTTTTACAAATAGGAAAAAAATCTTAGGAGTGATGGTAAATTTCAAGTCAACATGATGTGAATCAGGGCACTACCATAAATTGTACTTCTCTCTACCTATGATCAAACTAAGGGAAAAAATAGCTCTTGAATGGTGAAATTAAAAATTGTAAGGTTAAAAAAGCAATTACCATATTATGCTTCTACCCTTCATGTTATTACAGTATATGAATCTTAGATGACTGCATTCTTTTCTTTCTCCATGAATGAATGACAAACCAAATGTAGGCCAGTTATGGTCGTAATCCATACAGGCTGAGCAAGCCTGTAATCCAGCACCTGGGAGGCTGAGGCAGGAGGATCACCAAGAGTTGAGAGTCAACCTGGTCTACACAGCAAAACAGCAAAATGTAGACAGATACTACTATGACTACTAAGAATTTAGAGAGATCACATGCTTTCTCAAGTATATTTTGGAAAACATTTACAAGTGAAGTTTCTGGATTTCAAACAAGCCTCCCCTGATCTGTTCCTTTCACTACCCTTTCTTGCCCCAATAAAAGGCGTTATTATTAGGTAGGAGCTCGAGCAAAAACCCAAGCATCAGGCTCTGCTTAGACTTCGGTGGTAGAGGGCATGTTTACCACGCGTTCAATCCTATCGCTACAGGAAAAATGAGAGAGGAACAGAGAGAGAAAGAAGAAGAAATGTGCCTGGCCCTATCTCTGACTCATCTTTTCCCTCTCATCCCACAAGTCTATTACCCTTCTAGCCAATCCATCAGCAACTTCTGGGTCTTTCCTCACCTCCATGCTATCTATCCACTACTTCACTTATGGCTTCCATTGCAGCCTCTGCACTGGTCCCCCTGCAACCACATTAAACCCCCTCACAGTACTCTTCATATAGTAGTTAGGGAGTCCCCTTTAAACTGCCAATTATCCCTTACTAAGGTGATCAGAACCCTCTCATGGCTCCCCCTGTGATGCTAATATCTAAACGCCTAAGAAACTAGCTGAAAAGGCCCTCACTTTTTCTGCAGCTTTCAGTTCCTACTTAAATCCCAACTTACTATCCATTCACATAGCTCAATCTTTTTTTCCCCAGTTTTTGAGACAGGGTTTCACCATGAGTTAAGGCTGGCCTTAAACTCACAGTGATCCTCCTACCTTAGCCTGGGATTATTATAGGCATGTGTCACCATGCCTGACATCCTCAACCTCCTTTTACTGTCCTATCACCATACTCTGACTGCGGAATGCCCCAAGTTTCTTTGTACCATGGGCCCTTTGCATATGCAAACACTCCTTTTTATCAAACACTCTTCCCCCAGATAGTCACATGGCCATCCCCATTTTGGCCTTGGGAATTTCAGCAAGCATCACCTCTTCAAGAAATCCTTCCTTGGAGACCCAACCTAAAGTAAACCGTTCTGAGCACATGCCGTCAAAAACTTGATTTTTACGTTTTGCAAGGAATGTACTAGTATCCAAAGCTAGCCTCTATTCGGCTGCTTTGTTTTACTCACCCTTACCCCTACCAAAATAAAAGCTCCATGAAAACAGGAACCTGATCTTCTGTCTAATGCATCTTCAAGCTCACACAGAAATGGCTAGAATTGCATAAGCACTCATTACAAGCAGAAAGAACCAATTAATGAATTTGGTTGAATCATGCTATAAAAATAATATAATCTATTAAAATACCTTTTATGTTGGAAATGTCAATATTGAGTTGTCCAAGTTTCTCACATGTTTTTTCGATGCATTCGTAAACTGACTGCAGAATCTCCTTGGGGTCTTGTTCCACCCATCTTTAACAAAACAATGTATTTGTTAGTCTACAAGACAGCAATACAAATGTATTTTATTTCTACAGAAATGTTACCTTCTGAGTGTGTGGCTGGTGTACAAATTAAAGAAAATTCGATAAGCAAAGCTTACCTATATCTCACTTTCTAAAGAAAAGGTTTCAATAAAAGCTTGACCTTATATTTTTATATGCAATAATCAATTATTGTTAAAGAAAGCCACTAAATAGGAGGCTATAAACAGCAAATATTCTATCTACTTTTAAATTATTTTTTCAAGTAAAGAAGAAAAGAGATTGGCACGCCAATTTTTTACACTTTGTGGGTTTGATTCCATAGTTATTTCTAAGTTGATGGAAATATATTTGTTTCACTAGCAATTTTTGAGTTGACAGAAACATTTTACAAATCATATTTGGGGAGTGAAGAAAATTTTGAAAAGCCAAGCAAGTATGTGTTACTACTTTCCCCCCAAAATGTTTTATTGGAATTTAGCAGCAAAGTTTAACTTGCTAATAACTATTGGTGTGGAAAAATGACTGATCGAAGTTTTCAGTTCCTGCACAGTTTTGGTAAGGCACTAATAACAAATGATAGGCAAGAGAGGATTTAGAGAAGTAATTTGAGGAAGTCCCAAAGTAGGTAACACAAACTGAAAAAAGTCTACTCCAGAGCCTGGAAGTAGCAATGAAATTTCAAATACCTTTATTCTCTGCCTTCTTCTGGACTAGCTAACTGCTTCTCTTTTGTAAGCTTCAAGTTTTTTTTTTTTTTTATCAGTACTGAGGATTTGAACTCACGACCATGCACCTGCAAGGCAGGCTCTTATGCCCTGTAAGCTTCAAGTTTTATCTATACCTTTTCTCTCCTCAAAATCCTAATCTCAACCTGGCTTAGTGGTGCACACCTATAATCCAAGCTATTCTTGAGGCTGAACCTGGAGGACCGCACATTCAAGGTCAGCCTAGGGAATTTACCAAGAGTGTCTCAAATTTTAAAAAGGAATGGGGATATAGCTCTGTGGTACAGCACTTGTCTAGTATGCATCTGGCCTTGGATTCAACTCCCAGTTCCACCTCCCTCCCTGACAAAAAACCTTCCTTCTATGCATTTCTAATTGTCATCTATAACCTAAGTATCCTCCCTACAATAGCCCTGGTTGAGTCTGAGGACAGTCATTCTAATACTGCTAATAGATCCATAATCTTTTAATGAAAGAAGAAAATTCTTTCAAATATAGGAAAACTTTTTTTCTTTTTGGTGATAGCAGAGCCTTGCACACACTAGGGTAAGCACTCCATCACTGCTATATATCTAACTCTTTTTATTTTACTTTGAGACATGGTTTCACTGTGTTGCCCAGGCTAGCCTCAAACTTGTACACCTCCTGCTTCAGCCTTCTGAGCAGCCTCAATTACTGGCATATGCCACTACGCCAAGCTAAGGAAAGCACATTTTTTCATGAAAAAGGAATGACACAACTTAGTAAAACATTTTTCTCTTTTCTTAAATTGAGATAAATTTTCCAGTGAAATGCATGGATCTAAAGTCCACAATTTGCTAAGTTTTAATAAATACAGACATCCATCTAACCAACACTTCAGCCAAGAATATTTCTTTCACCAGACAAAGTTCTTTCATGCTCCTTTCAAGTCAATCACATAACTCACTTTTATTTCCATTATCCTACATTAGTTTATCCTATTCCTGAAATTTAGACAAATGGAAGTGTACAATGTGTTCTTGTTTGTACTTTTTTACCATCTATAATGTCACTGAGATTCAATGGTACTGCAAGAATCAGGTTACTTTTTTTAAATGCTGTATGATATTCCATTGTTATCCTTTCTACTGATGATAGATATTTGGGACTTCTATGAATAAAGTGCATATAAATATTCATGTGTAAATCTTTCTAAGTACATCCTTTCACCTCTTTTAAGAATTCCTCAGAATGAAATACTGCAGATTTAAGGTCAACTTAAGAAACTGTCATACAGCTTTCAAAGGGGTTGTATTATAAAAACCTTTCAATTTTAAAGAATATACTCAACATTATATATAGTTACAATTTCCACGTATTAACACTTTTTCCAAAAAGGATGATTTAGGGCCAGGGATTTAGCTCAGTGGCACAAGTGCCTGCCTGGCAAGTGCAAGGTCATGAGTTCGATCCCTGGTACAAAAAAAGGGAAGATTTAATATTAGTCACATGTGAATGCTTTTTTTAAAAAAATAGATGTCCTTAGTTTAAAAAAAAACCTATGTTGTACAGTACTCAAATTAATGAAGCAGTATTTGGCAATAGTGGGGACAGAGAACTAAATGTACCATTTCTGATGTTAAATCTTGTTTGCCTTATAATTTATCTCCCTTCCTTTTTTGTCAATGAATTCCTATACCATCAACTACCCACATATTTTTGCAAACAAGTTATTGTTTCTTCTCTTCACTAATCAATATTTAAAGTCTTCAAGAAAGAATCTGGCAGAGTTTATCTTATAAATTCACAGGGTAGAGAGAGTAAGATAAAGCTTTAAAGAAGATATGTCTTTATGTATTAAATTAGAAAACATACCCTTCTCTTGGGAACTCCTGTTTTATTTCCACTTGATGATGACTTAGAAGTTCAGCTGTTTTTGAATTGAAAACCTGAAAAACATGTTGCAATAGTATTATAAAAATGCAGGCAGCTATCAAAGGTGTAAGCCTCAGGAGGATCACAAGTTGGAGGCCAGCCTGCGTTGCACAGCGAGGTCAAGGTCAGCCTGGATAAGAAAAAGGGAACAAGCAGTGGAGAGAGGGAGCATCAGTATGAGCAAAATATACACATTTACCCTCTCCTCATGTGAAACTAGGGCAGGATAAGGGGGATGATGGATAGGGTGAAAATGAGTAAAGTAAGTTGTGTGCTTGTACAAATCTGCCAAAATGAATCCCATTAATCTGCATAGCTAATTAAAAACGTGTAGGCCAATAAATTAACCAAAACTTCTCTTTAAATAAAAAAGAAGAAACGTATTGACGATACAGGTAAATTAAGAGGAAATTCCTTAGTAAACCAAAATAACTCTCTGATTTTAGGAAAGTTAACACATGAACCAATTATCAGCATGGATTCAGAGAAAAGGAAAATCAAGAATAATACAGTGTTAATAGTGATGACATAATAACCCACTCCTCATTCATACTGGATGTGCAGAAAGGGCATAGGATGCTCAAGCAGGAATGCCTACTGTGAATTCCTGAGAGAAATGTCAATGCCCTATCAATGGACAGAAGTGTATATACGGGCTCATCCCACCAAGCACTGTAATACCATTGTCACAAATTGCTGACCCTTAGTACAACACCTGAAAATAAAAGGAAGAAAGCTAATTAAGAAGTGCTACATAATCCTCCACAATTTAATACTATTTAAAAAGCACTTTAAAAAACTTCACACTGGGGGCTGGGGATTTAGCTCAGTGGCCAATAAGCGCCTGCCTTGCAAGCAGGCAGTCATGAGTTCAATCCCCGGTACCGATAAAAAGGAGGAAAAAAAAAAAAAAAAAACTTCACACTGGGCATGTTGGCTCACACCTTAATCCGAGCACTTGGGAGGCTGAGGCAGGGGCATCACTGCGAGAGTTCAAGACTAGCTTGGCCTAAAAAGTGAGCTCAAGGCCAGCCTGAACTGTGTAGTGAGACCCTGTCTCAAAAAGACAAATAAAAAAAAACAAAATAACTTCCCAACATTTGTTCATATATGCTGCTTTTTACCAAAGTATTTCCTCTTTTGGGGTAAGAATGTGTATTTTAATTAAAATTAACTCCCCAAACCATTATAATAGTTGCAATAAAGTCATTTCAAATTAGTTAAAGTATTTCCATGCTTAGGTTTCCTGTGGGAGAAAATTACCTTTTCAATACAGACTAACCATGATGTGTTGTCTCCCTCCTTCCCCATCATACATATCTTCTTTTCTGGACAAACTGCTAAACATAATGAAAGCAAAAGGGCAAATTCTTCAGTTATTCAAAGAGATAAAGTATCTTACAAGTCAAAGGTTAACTCAACACGTTGTAATTCAAAGGCACATAATTCAAAGGCAGATTACCACGTAATATCCTTGTGATTTACAACTTCGCATTACAGTGTCTAAGATGTCAAGCTACATCTGTCCTATTTCATTCACTGAAATATCTCTAGGATATCTGATGCTCAATAAACACTTGGTGAAGAGCTGAACAAATATGGTCTAGTACAAATGTTTATTAGAAGAAAAATCATCAGATAAAATAAAAATGGTTATGGGCAGAAAAACTAATACGAAACTACAGTTCTATTATTGTTATTCATGTTATTGCTACTTCCTTGCTAAGTCTCAATTCTCTGAAGGAGTCTGGGTTAAGAAATGAAGTATGTCTTTCTGCTGGCTAGATTCATAAAAACTTCAACAACAGAGTGATGAGGCTATAAACAGAAAGGGATACCTCTTCTATCACTTCCTATTTTGAATCAGGCTAACTTCAGGGCCCTTACACAAAACATGGAATTATACGTCTTTGGAATAAACACAGACAAGGGAAGGATTTGGTAAATTCTATTTACTGGAGTAGAGCATGAAGGCATCCATCCACACACAGCATTTGGAACTAACAGGATGCAGCCTAGACTTACCTCAACAGAACTCCCAAGCTTAGGAAAAGATGCTAACACTTTTTTGAGATATTACATTAAGGATGTAGCCCTATGTACCCCCCAAGTTTGTGGGAGACTTTATCAGTTCAGTATTTTTCGAATCAGCAACTTCCTTAGAATACTAAGCAACAATAATATAATACAAACCATGAATGCAAGCCAAATAGGTAATTTGAAGCTTTCTCATAAAAACTAGTAAAAAGACCAGTAAAATTAATAACATGTTTGATCTCAGTCATTATTGTATATTTATAAATTATCACTTCAACACATGACAAATGTTAAAAAAAATCATGGAGATCTTTTTGCTTGTTTCAAATACTAAGTCTTTGAAATCTGGTATATATCTTACTTAGGCTTACAGCCTACCTCGATTTGGACTAGTTACATATAAAACAATCAATAGCCACATGTGGCCAGTGGCTATCATACTGGCCAGTGAAATTCTAGAGCACTTTCTTCCTTATACATCTAAGTCCACAGGAAGAATCTTAATGAAGCCTCCTTAATGTCTGTTTATCTCCAGATGGACAAAGGTACAAAGAAAGAAAATGATGTTTCTAAGACACTATGGTGGAGTACAACTGATTTCACATGAGAATGTATAAAGAATATCAGTCAGTTTTAAGAAAATTTCAAAAACCATTGCCAATCAAAGATGACAGTGGCTGTGTAACCTACTTTATAGAATGTCTAGCATAATCATTTGTTTAAAAACTCATCTGAAGGGGCTGGGGATTTAGCTCAGCGGCATAAGTACCTGCCTTGCAAGCAGGCAGTCGTGAGTTCGATCCCCGGTACCGGTAAAAATGGAAAAAAAAAAAAAAAAAAAAAAAAAGAAAAGAAAAACTCATCTGAGGAGCCAGGCATCATGGCACATGTCTGTAATCCCAGTACTCGAGGAGGCTGAGGCAGAGAGATTCCAAATTTGAGTTCAACTTGGGCAATTCAGCAACTTAGTGAAATCCTGTCTCAAAAAAATATTATTGAAAAACGGCTGACATTGTCAGTTTGGTGCTAAAGTCTGTGGGCTCAATCTCCACCATCATGTCAAAAAATATATATTATATATATATATATGTATGGTAAGGGACAAAAATCACAGAATTATAGATCTTCTCATCTTAATTCATCAAACTTAAAAACATACTGGCACAGGATACAAGACTGCCTAAAAAGGGCTGGGGATGTAGATCAGTGGCAAAGTGTTTGCTTAGCATGCATAAGACCCTGGGTTTAATTCCCAGCACTACAAGAAAAAAAAGACTATCACAGACTATCTTTAAGAAAAGAAATTAGCTAGGTGTGGTGGTGCATGCCTTTAATCTCAGCACTCAGCAGCCTGAGGCTAGAGGATTGCCAGAGTTCAAGGACAGCCTGAACTACATAGAAACCATTTCACAAAACAAAACAATGACAACAAAAACTGAAATTAATGTGCTGTCTATGGTGGTGCACAGTTGAAATCTTAGCTATTAGGGAAGCTGAAGCACACAAATAATGAGTTTGAGACTAGCCTAGGCAATACTGGGAGACCCTATCTCAAAATCACCAAGGAAAGTCAATGCAGAAATAGAATTTAGCATAATGTAGATCATTAGAGAAATGCAAATTAAAACACTGAGGAAAAAAAAAAGAACAACATTACTGAGATTCCAGCTCTCCTGAGAAAGAATGGCTACTGTCAAGAAGTCAACAAAAGCTAGCCGGATTGTAGGGAAAAAGGAACCCTTCTCCACTGTTGGTGTGAGTGTAGACTGGTACAACCACTGTAGAAATCAGTGTGAAGATTTCTCAAAATAACTACGAGCAGAGGTCTCATTCCACCTAATTGTCATTGTGGGTATCTTCCCAGAAGAATTAAAGACACCATATCACAGCAATATATTTGCACCCATGTATATAACAGCACAATTTGTAACAGCTAAATCTTGAGAACAACCCAAATGCACATCAACTAATGAATGGCTAAAGATGTGAGTTTTTAAAAATATAATGGAGTACTACTCAGCCATAAAGTATAAATAGGAGACCTTCCTATTTAAATGGGTGCAGTTTGAGACCATATACTTAAGTGAAATAAATCAGACACCATGTATGTAAATATTGCCTTGTTTCTGTGGTGTGAGAAACCAAAAGTGTTAACAAGGACCAAAATGTACAATAGATATTGTGAAATAGGAAGAAAATGGTCAAGTGGGAAGGTATAGCCAGGCATGGTGGCACACACCTATAATCCCAGCACTCAGGAGAGGCTGAGGCAGGAGGATTAATGCAGGTTTGAGACCAGCCTGGCCTAGGAAGTGAACTCAAAGTACAGCCTAAACTGCATAAGAGACCCTGTATCAAAAAGACACACACACGCACACACACAAGCACACAATCAAACGTGAAGGTAAAACTTGGGAGGGGGGAGAGGGGATGGAAGGAAAGGAAAAGGAAAAAATGGAAACAAAGCTTTTGTAAATAACGAAGGGAAGCAGGTTGAAAGGAGGATTGGGGAAGTGGAGAAAAGAATAAAAATATATCATGTATAAATTCCCTGTGATGAATGTGATCAGTATGAATACCTAAAATGTACCAATAAATTTAATATAAAAAGTATTTAGCACAGTATAGGCCAACAGTATATGCTCACGTGAGTTTACCACTACTGTGGCGGCTATTACTACATTATTATTACCACCTCCACTACTGTACTGTTACCTATTAAGTGGTAGAATTAGAATTAAAAGTCACCAGCTGTTTTCGCCTCCTATGCCTCAATTATGACTCAATTCTTGACTTGAAAAACTAAAGAAAGAAATATGTTTTTGTAAGTGTTTTAAAATAGCCTATTTAAATAATGCATTCATTTCTGTCTCATAAAGCACACCACGGACAGATGAAAAGTTCTCCTTACTAAGTGTCCTGTAGGTTTGCCTCGCTCATACTATGACTAATTCAGCTGAACATGCACATTCATTTC